AATTCACACTAACCTCCATAAGTTACGTGGTGACATGGAAGTTTTGACATGGATTTCCGTTTAGACTAAATTGTCAAGAATTTTAAAATTACTAACTATAAGGGCATAAATAGAAAATTCCTATACTAAAGTAACAAATCGTCATTAATTATTTAAATAATAACCTTGACTTCAGTGATATGTAAGTGTTATTTTATTGTACTAAAGAAAATACAAATGCTATAAGATAAGACTAAAATTCAAGTTTTAGATAATTTTTTAAAAAATTAATTTTTTAATACATTAAATTAAAGTAAGGTGCGTTTTAAGATGGTTGAAGAAAAAATTAGCCTTGGCACAAAAGTTAATGCGGGAAGCACATGACCATCCAAATAAAAAAAAAATTTATTAAAATAATTACTAAATTTGGCTGGTGTATGATGAGGTTATTATTGTTGTTATAAGAATTTACTTATATATAAGCTTTATATATTATATTTATATAAAATTTTAATTATAAATATATTTTTAATAATTGAGATTTATTTATATTTATTAAATATAATTATTTTTCATTAAAAAATCGTGATAAATTTCAACTATTGAAAAAAATAAATGATTAATATTTGTGTAAATATAATATATACGACTTGTGTAAACGAATCCCTTATCTTATTATTATTAATTGTTATAAATCAATTCATTATAAATATTTTACCTTCCTTAGTTTTCACCTCCTTACCTTCGTGGCATTTATATATTAAGTAATGATGTAACTTTCACTATCTATATGCAATTACAATAATAATTAATACCTCATAATACTAAGCAATTAGATAGTGATAATGAAATTTTTTAGAATCCATTTATTAACAAATGATTAATCTTTGTTACCTTCTATTTAATGGGTATTCAAACTTTATAATTCTTATTATCCATTAACTCCTAAATATAAGGTTTGTACTCTTGCAAATATATCAAAAAAATAAAAATAAAAATATAATATATCTTTATATTGTTTTATTTTATTTTTAAAAATTTTTAATTGATTTTTTATTTTATATTATTTAGTAATACAATATTTAATTGCTTAATGATGTTATTTTCATTTTCATTGGGTCATCATTGCAATTTGCATCATTCGGCAACAGAGAAGGCTAACTGAAAACCTGCATGAATCGTGCACACGAATGAATAAATCCCCCTGACTCACGCACAAGGTGCTCAACCTCGGATTCGGCCCAACCAAAATACAAAGCCCAAAGCACTGTCTCCATTCTCCACGTACCGATGAAAACCTGAAATAATTTTTCCATGGAATCAGGAGGTATTCAGTCAAATGGGGAACACCTCCTCGTGCGCGCCGCGCCATGCCATTTATTAAGAAAACTTCTTCTTCTTTTTTTTTTTTTATCGTACCGAAATTTTTTTATCTGACTAATTTTAAAAATGAAAAAGTGATGGGTAGTTGGTGTGGTTCACCGGTGACAAAACAATACCTTCTTTTAAAAATCATCATATTTACAAATGAAATTTAGTGTTTATTAGTATAGGCCGTCAAAAGAAATATAGTTGGGATATTAAA